TGTGCATTTATTGCATGGCTGCATGTCTCTACTTGTACTGTGGTCTCATAGTCAGTGAATGCCTAAGCAGCAAAGATATAGACATTTTCTGAGCTGCTGAGCTAAAGCAACTAAGTGATTTAGTATAAGGAAGTTCATTTGTGATCTGAATATGTATCTAATTATTTTAGGAAACGTGCTACCAGCCCATGCTGCGAGGACCTTTTTGCCTTAGAAAGTCTATAGACTGCATCAACACTATAGATGAAGAGAAGAAGAAGGTACTGAAAGTAACTGCAAGGATGAATGTACCAAACAAATGAATATTTAATTAGTCAATAACTGGCTCTGTTAAATACATAATTTCTAGACATCTTTTTCAGCTATTTTGCAGCTTCTTAGCAATCATTCAGAGCATTGCAGAAACCATTTTTGTAATTAATCATCCAACTTGAAATAACACTTCTGGCATTTTTAATAATTTAGATTTTTTTATAGAATATCCGTGACCCTAAATTGTATATATATATCGATGAAGATGGAGGGATGGATGGATGGCAGAACCCCGGAATCCAGAATGCATGCTATGAGCTAACTGTCATTCTCCATTGATACTTTAAGAATGCAGTTACTTTTGAGTGCCCTTGGTGCTGCACAGTGGAAAATGTGGCCCTCTCCCAATTTTTTTTGAGAAGAGCTGCCATCAAACTCAAAATGAGCTAATATTTTTTCTTCAATAAATAAAGGGCAGATTTTCTCAATTTAAACCTTAATTTTTTTTCCATTTTACACGGCATCCCAACATTTTTCAGAATTGGGGTTATACATGCTTATTGATACTGTGAATATAGGAAACAATCAAGCACAGGAGAATTACAACAGTAATTAAAAATGTTTAGTTTAGAATAACTTGGTTAGTAAACAGCATAAGTTGTTTAAATCCTCATAACATTGAAACTAATAGTCTCTTAGGTTCTTCTCATACTGGCTGCAGATGACTTGACCATGTTTTGAATGTGAACTGAAATGTGGCGGCACTTCCATGTACATGAAAATATTGTATCATTCACCTGAAATAACTGCCACAGTTAACTTAGCAGTGAAAGCTTCGAGGATGGCAAGGCACAACCACGGAGCGAAAAGTACATTCAGCAGATACCAGCTGGGTGCCAAATGCGCTTGAACTCTCTGCATGCATGCATGATGCATGCACAGTCTTTTGCACTGGTTATGCATTTTTCAGAGCAATGCATCTACATTGCATGCATGTGCACCAGCTTCTCTCCTACTCACTACTAACCTTAAATGGACTTCGACACAGCTCTGTTTAAGCACTGACATTTAGGTTGGTCTTGTACGAAAAATAACTTTCATCTAGGGCTGTGCAATATGACCAAAATCTCATATCCCGATATAAGAATTCTATCGTCCGATAACGATATAAATCACAAAAATGTAAGATTTTCTGTAAATTCTGTGAATCTCGGGCAGCTCGTCTTGCGGAAAGTGTTTCCAGCTGCGCGTCATTTAGCTGGAGTCTAGTGTTTTAACCTATGCATGAACCATACATTTTTAGACATAAGTTGTAAAGGCCGCCGTTTTCTTTGTATTTATTACACGGCGTGCTGCGGGGAAAAGCCTGTTCTAACGTTTGAGTCTAAGGTTTATTTTTTAGCACCTGGCGGCTCTTTTTTAATTCTCATCCGTAGATAATCTGCTCTTTCACGTGATTCAGTTTATTTTGAAAAGTCTCAACAGGATCTTGAGCTTTATTGTGAAAGGTTTACGTGGAACATAAACAAGCGGACACGCGATGCTGTTACCGTCGTTGTTGCTAACCACAACGCATAAAAACAGGCTCTTGTCCGTCCGTAGTGTGGTTATATAAAATATAAGAGAAAGAGAGAACTTTAAGAAATTAATATAGCCACTACAGTGACCATCAAAACGATGAAAAAATATTGCTGTAAACAGTTTATTTTGCGACACCACGAAACAAACGATAGCGTAAAATGAAACGATAGACGTTTTTATATCGTCATCCGATATATCGAACAGCCCTACTTTCAGCAGTTATTTTGTGACAAAGCAGCCTTATGTCTTAGGCACTGACAGATTAGATGCCGTTGTTAGCATTGCTGTCAGATGATGTCAACTCATCTGCCTGTTAAAGTTAACATTGCATGCAGCGGGCAGGTTAGACACAGTAGACATCCGGAAGTGCAGTCATCCGGTTGTTCAGTCTGACGTCACTAGCCGTGTCTGGGTCTAAACTCCGCTGCAGGTCCATATATCAAACGATCACTATGGCATTACTGAGAGTTGAAAAACTGTCTAAAGTATTTCATCTTTAATAAAATGATCAGCCTTCTCCTCTACCAGGTGTAACAATTGAGTTTAACATCCAGGCATCCATGAAAACGGAATTTATGACATTTAACGGAGTTAGAAGTTAGCAGGGAGTTAGCTCGCTAGCTTCTATCTAAATACAATATAGCATGTCCTGACTGCGGGGTTTTGGAAACAAATTAAAACGTACAGCTCTGCTATCACTTCCAGCATAAATCAAGACAGAAAACTAAACAGCAGTGACGTTTGTAGGGTTACTGAAGTTGGGCTAGCTGGTATATAATGATGTGCTACGTGACCGCTAGCGACACAGCTATGTTAGCATAATATAAACAAGCTAACTTTTTTTTCCACTCGATAAAAGTTACCGTGAGTGTTCTCGGTGGTCAGGAACAAATGTAATCGCATGGCAGGATGCTGTAAAAGGACCAAACTTCAGCCAGGAGAACAACTGAGATAATCCATCCACAATACGAGGTTAGTCATTCATATACTGCTGCATGGGCTGGGCTGTAGTTACATCGTAAGGTTTTAAAAACTGAGCTTAAATAAATGATTAGCGGTAATAAAAGCCGAGGGAGGTCAACAGTGGTCGCTGACTGTTTTAGGAGCTTTTTGAGATCAAATAGAAGAAAATACATAACATTAAACATGTTAACAACACAAAAGCCATATTAAACGCAGACTACTTTAGACCCGGAAGTAGGATTCGTCGCGTCATCACTGAACAACCGGATAGATCTTAACCTTCTATGAAAGGATTTCCTGTGAGGGATAGTGGTAAGAGAGAAGGAGAAACCTAGATAAATTAAAATAAATTTTATTAACACTTTTCCCACTTTAACAGAATCAGTTTAAGTTTGCAAGTGAGAGGTTATCCCACTGCAAGTTTCATCAATCATGACTAAGAAATTTTGTATGCATCCACTAAGACAATTCAGAGATATGAGAGTAAGAGACAGGCATACAGTGAAGCGCCTCTCCATCTGCAATGCTTTCAATTCAGCAGCAATCCAATGCTGCACTGCTCGTGTGGTAATTACATCTTGCCTTGGGGCTAATATGAGGCAGAGGGTTAACGTGTTGTGAAGGCAGAGGGAAAATTTCTGCTGCGATTACACACCCACTCTTTGCTCTGAAACATGATTCTCTTCATCTGCTCTGATCAGACACAATGTGCTTATTGATACAATAATATTCAACCAGTTGGAGGGAGAAAAAGTCTCAACTCTCCTTTCTTATCAGCTCTCAGTTAGCTGTGGTGACTGATTTCCTCCAGGATACAAGCCATCATCTGAATCACAGGTGGTCTCACACTTACCTCCCAATCAAGAGAAAATGAAGAGATCACAACAACACTGACAAGATAATTATGTCCTGCCATTTCATTTTGCATGAGCTATATACAGTTCAATCACAGTGCAACTTATATGTATGCCACTAACACTCAAGGCTGTTTTGGGAGGCATCGTTGTTCCAGTATAGGGCTTGAACAGCACTGAGTAACAGCAAATAGTTCAAAGTGTTCATTATCTGAATACTCCCACTGCAGGATGAACTTTTCTTGATTCCTCTAACATTTATCATTGAAACTGAGTAAGTCCTTCCTTATCTTTGCATACTTTTATGACATTTTTGCTACTGCACTAAATGGGAAAACTTAATTTACCACAGTTATTGTTCCTAAGTTGTTAAAACATAACTTACATAGGTCATTTTAATAAAAAAAAACATGTTCCTCATAGACATAATGACATACTAAATCTAATAAGCCCGGCAGGAGAAGATTGTGTTTCCACATTACAGAAGAACTGCCCATAAAAATCCTTGCCCATAAAATGCCCACCACCGGTATTTCAGACCTGAGGGCTACAATATAGTCGAGGGCATAGTCTGTCAGTATCAGTGCCTATATCTCTAAGCTGCAATATTATAGTCATGAAAGCAGATCATCAGATGTACAGTGAAAAGGTGATTATAAAGGCTTATAATCAAACAAACAACAACCTTTATGTATCACATAGACAATTAAACAGGGTACAACATGTAGTGAAATTCTTGCGTCCGAGCTGCGGACAGGCTGCAGACATAGCCGCGCCATTCCAGGGCTTTGTTTTAAGCATGGGGGGTCTAGCCAGGACCGTTACTGGCTAGACCAGTAAGGGTGGTAAATGTGTGATGGTCACACATTTAACCCCTTTTCAGTGTAAAAGCAAAGCTGTATATTTCAGATTCATTTGATTTTCAGTTTGTCAGAGAGTGGCCAATTATCCATAGATCCATTGGGGCTTAAACAGATTATGAATTTGTTAGGAAATGTCATTAACATACGTTTCATTCCTATAGAACCTGTTTTACGTGTATATATACCTGTAAACACAACTGTGGAAAACTTGTCATATCACAAAATAAAGCTCTGCAGAGAAAAGCCAATTCATAATTTATTTATAATGTTTTCAGAGCTGATTTAACAAATGTGTTACCTTTATCCGCTTAAGGTTCCCCTGAGAAATGTTTTATTAAAAAGACAACCTGCAAAGGAAAATCTAAGTAGCATGTTTGGACACTGCTGACTTGAAGAATTACCTTCACATCACTCTATGTTTGTCTGTTTAACAGTTACTGAGAGAAAAAAAACATATCTATATCTATATATATCTTATATCTCTTACCTGGTGTGTCCCCTGGTGGGTCTAGCTTTGGTGGTTTGACAGACTCCGTGTTGCTCATAGAGGACTTGGTGGTGCTCTTGGACTCTGTTGTGGTCACCACAGTGAACGTCCTTTGGGAGAGCCTGGTTGTAGTGCTAGTGGTTGTGGCCACTGTAGTAGTTGCAGCCCTGGTGGACGTTAAGTTTGGCTCCATTTTGCCATCCTCATCTATGCTATCAGTCCCCGTGGGTCCCCAGTCAATAAATCCAGCCACTGTTGTAGTCCGGCCCTCCTGAGACTTGTCATAGCTGTCCCATTTGAGCTGCCTCCTGGTTCTAATTAACAACCTCTCGCTTGATAAAGCAACTGGAGCTTTTGCTAATACAGCCAAAGGATCGCCCGTCTCTTTTTGAGAGTATCTCAGCCGGCAATTCTTGCACGCTGCTTGTCCTTTGTGTGCTGGCTTCCAATGCTTTTGACCTTTAACTTTTGGCACTATTCCTGCCCTGCTGTCTTGGGGCGGAGGAACAGGGCTGAGGAGCCGGTGGGCTAACGGGCTCACTGTTCTCCAGTGAAGCATGTTAGGCTTATCCCAGAGGGGCTGCAAGCGAGGCCGTGAGCGAGGCACCGGTTTAGGCGTGAGTTTGATCCCCAGACCTTGACTGAGAGGGCTGCACACAGAAAAGTCCAAGGTAAGGTGAGTCATGGCTAGCAGGATCCACACCCGATGCCCCACACAGCTGCCTGGCTTCAAAGCAGACGGACTGCAAAGAGAGAGTAAATGAGAGGCAGCGTTTTAGATTTAGCACTAAATGTTAAAAAAATACAAATCAAATTTTCTCTGTCTCCCATCCTACCAAGTTTTAGCTCTTTTGTCAAGATGCACAGCAGTAATTATCCCCTATTTACACACTTAGCAAAGCTTAACTCCAAGTTCTGGAAAACACACCCAATTACACTATGATAATAATTAGCCTCGCAAAGTGATTCTTCAATAACAACATAAAGGTCAGACGCAGGGTAAACGTTGCAGAACATGGGAAAGATTCTGGAGTTGCTCTTTTCACTCTCAACTGTAACAAGCAGGGAGGGCGAAGCTGCAGATTCACATCAACCCAGTGATGATAACGACAACACACAAGGTCAGTCCTCGTTTAACTGATCATCATCATCATTTTCAGCATTATCTCCTCCAAAACACAAAGTCATCTGATTCCCAAAAGGGAAATCTGGTCGTGCAGAGAAACATCTAAGAAGGTTTAGTGTAACAATAATGGGAATGCACAAGTGAGCTTCACATATAACAGGTCTGCTTCGGTGTGTACATGCTGTTATTTTCAGTCGTAGATTCCTTCGCTCCTCTCTGCTGCTTTGGGCACTGTGAACTCCCGCTGGGTCCTGCCTTAATATGCACCACTGTGCACTTTGACTCGCAGGTGTCTCCGTAGTTTGCGGCTGGATTATAAAATCGAATCACTGAAGTTTGACGTTGTATTTTAGCTTTGTTGAGGTTGAGTACTGCTTACAATATGATATCTAGTGATATTAACTTTTACTTACCTTGCCCTCTTATACAGAACAGTGAATTACTATGTCTGTCTTTTTACATGCTTTATTGTCTTTTCAAGACTTAAATGTTATTGCATTTTAGTTATATAATTTACCTTATTTTACTTGCTTTCTGTAAAATGTCCGTGAGAATATGTTAATGTTTTCACTGACTGTTGATGCCGATAACGCATGTGGAAAAAAATTACGTGAGGAATCAAGTTATGCTAGCTTTGTGGAGAAGTTAGCAGGTTACTTCCTAGTGCAGCCGCTCAATGCCCGGTGAACTCAAAAACCTACTTCTAGTCAGAGAGGAGAGAAGCTGGAGCAGACAGTTTAATACAAGGCAGCTTTTCTTTATCATTTGTTGTCAGAATGAACAGTGATCGCCTATAAGGCGAGGTGTCATGGCAGTCTTTTCATGACAACAAAAAATGAAGAGCCTTATTGTTTCACATTTGTGAACACTGCGGAAAAAGCCACAGTGACAAACTTGGGTGAAGTTAAATGAAGAAGTTATGAACAAGGGCGCAAATTAAAAGTGTGGATCACGGTGCAATATTTTCAGATGAAGCATGATGACTACGTTGCAGAAAGCTTCACTTATATCACATGTGCGTACATTTTTTTCATATTTTATGATGTCCAAAAATAGATTTTGTCCCTAAGTAAACTTCACCTCTAGACAACATTAACTGCATGGCAAGGTGACAGACAAGCTGGCTGTTCGGGCTTGAGCCCCATAGCAGACTGATTCTAGAGACAACCTTCAGGAGCCCCTGGGACAAAGCTACACATTGAATCCTAAGGGAGGAACCTCATTATGGGCAGCTTTCATCTCTGCTGTCCTTGGCCAATTTAAACCCATACGGAGGACTTTTGTGGAGAAGTAATGATGGGTGGGAAAGTTTGAACGGGTCTGTCAACAGTCAGAAGCAGCATTAGACATCTTTTGATCATATAATCATAAAGTCTCTATCATGTTTCTATTACAGTTGTCCAAATAATCAACACTCAGCTACTAATCGATACAAAAACTACTACCGGATTAGATACTCATTTGCAACAGTCTCAATACAGACAGTACCATCTTTGCCTCCTCCAGTTGACACACAACTTTACCTTAAGCCATTTAACTATTATGCGACAGCCACATTAGCCATGGGTTATTATTCAATTCAGTTCAATGTAATTCAATTTTATTTATCTAGCGCCAAATCACAACAACAGTAAGGTAATAATACATACAGAGAAAACCCCAACAATCATATGACCCCCTATGAGCAAGCACTTTGGTGACAGTGGGAAGGAAAAACTCCCTTTTAACTGGGAGAAACCTCCAGCAGAAGCAGGCTCAGGGAGGGGCGGCCATCTGCTGCGACAGGTTGGGGTGAGAGAAGATGTGTTTATAGGATAAAAGACATGCTGTGGAAGATGCGAGAGATCAATAACAAGTATGATTCAATACAGAGAGGTCTATTAACACATGTTGAGTGAGAAAGGTGACTGAAAATGAAATACTCAGTGCATCACAGGAATCCCCCTGCAGCCTACACTTATTGCAGCATAACTAAAGGAGGATTTAGGGTCACCTGATCCAGCCCCAACTATATGCTTTAGCAAAAAGGAAAGTTTTAACCCTAATCTTAACAGTAGAGATAGTGTCTATCTCCTGAATCCAAAACCATTATCAAAACAGTGTCTAGCTAAATCCAATAATAACAAAGTGACATTAATGTGGGAGCTAGGCAGTGCTTGTTGAATAGTATAACACAGTTATTTATACTTTAAGTGTTAAGGTTCCCTTTAAGTCCCAGATCAAAGCAGAGAAAAGTCTACTAACAGCGTGACAGAAACAGTGGCAGCCTACCTCACCAACTGCATTTGATAAGCAATGAAAATAGGGTGCTAAGTCACCAGCAGAAAAAAAGAATGAACTGGGATGTAGATAAATACATTTGCACATAACAATATTGTTTTAATCTATTTCTGCCTAACTCTTAATTTTCTACCCACTGATGGAAAATGGTATTGAGTATTTGTCGAGTGTAAAGTTCTAGTATCATGATGACCCTACTAACTATACTACGGTGACATTTGATGAGACAAACTAAACTTTTTAAGGTTGTATCTACAATTGCTTTGATCATAAACAATGCTTCTTACAAGCACATGTACACAAATAGGACAAAATAAGTACAGCGTGCCAAGAGCCTTGCTAAATCATTTCTACTCACTAAGAATACCAATTTTTAAAAACAAATTAAATGTATATTTCACAGGCGACGGTACATATGTCAGTCCCCATACATTTAATCTCCGCCTGACCCTCTGCATAGATTGTTGCCTCGAATGTAAAAAACAAGAAGAGAAAATGTGGTTTTTGGATTTGAGTTATAAACAAGGTTCAAAGCGCTTCAGTGGCATAAAAACATATTAAAAGATAAAACCGTTGCTGCCTGGCAGTAATATTATAACACTGCTTGTCACTTGAGGTGAGCTTCACACTTTTTGAACTTGTTCAATTATAATTCAAAGGTAATCCAGCATGCTAACTAGAGACCTTTACAATTATTATGTAGACAGGCTGCCCATGAAGAATGACAACAGGCTTTTATTATCACCAGCGTTCCATTTTTAAGGTGTGAGAGACCAGCCGACCACTAACTGATAAATAATTTAGAATGACATCTTAATTGAACTGTAAATGGTGACTGATGTGGTCAGGAAAGAGCTGTGACAAGGTCATTTGATTTTTGACAGTTAAAAATATGGATAATAATTTGTCTTGTGAGTGTTTTGGCCTTGACCTCAGACTGAGACCTTGGCACCTGCTCAACCTGCACACTTCAGGTGAGTAAATTTTAACACTCCAATCCAAATTATGGCAATACATGATAAGGAAAATGGCTGTTAGGAATATTATTATTTTACAACATGGAAAAATGCTGTGTAAACATTTTTTGACCATGTTTGTTTGCTGTACCTCAAACATGATCAGAACAATGTAAGCAAAAATAACCCTGAGGAGAGATGCCTACAAAAGGCAGCAGAGAGGACTTTTATGATCTCACTCACGCAAGTCTCTGATATGATTGAGTAAGATGGAAGTGTTGTTCTTTTTTGCCAGCGGTACATAAGTGAATAACAACCACAGACAACAAATACTGAGCTCATGCTGGGTATTGAACTTCATTCATTAGGGAGTGGTAGGTAACTTTTGTATGTTATTCATTGTCAACTGAACATTGAGAGCACAGATGCAAACATTATTTCTAAAATAAAAGGAACTTCTTTCTGTGCCTGCACCATCTTTAGTATCACAGCTGTGGCTCAGGCGCTAGAGCGGGTCATCTGCTAATCATTAGGCTGGCAGTTCGATCCTTAGCTCCTCCAGCCTGCATGTTTAAGTATTCTTGGATAAGATGCTAAACCCCGAGTTGTCCAGTAGGTTCGCTTAATCATTCTTAATTACTTTGAAAAAAGAGGAGAGCATTATGTATAAATGGACCAAAATGCTTTGAACCATAAGGAGCACCTATAAGAAGTCAACTATAGGCTGATTAACTTCATTGTGGACTTCAAGGTTTATGTTTTATTAGCCTATTTTGACTAAACTGTCTGATCAATATTAAGAAGCAAAACCATAACTTTTTAAAAAAGTCACGGCCAGTGTTTTATATAAAGTAGCTATAATGAGAGATCTTTAAAAAATACTGTTATTACTGCTCTAAAATTTATCTAAAATTAAGCAGTGTTCATAAACTTGATTCACTAACATGCTGATGTATTTTCACTTGCCTTTCATTCACATACCTTCTACACCGTGAAGCAATGTTGGTGTTGAATTAGACAGAAAAGGAAAAAAAAGTTACAGCAAGAACAACACATGCTACAGATAAATTTCCTTCAACCGATGTTTTCTAAGAACAGCACTTGCATAATTTCAGAATTGCTAATACTCTTTGACATCCTGCATAATGAAAATATAATCTACAAGTATACCGCACAGATGGCGGAATAATTGCAGTCTTCACAGCATGAACATACCAGATTGCTTTTTGGTTGGATTGTGTGTCTGGTGTCCTATTTTATGAGCACATGCTCTATCATACTGTCAATGCTAACTTCAGAATATAGGTAAGCCTTGCCGATATGGCAGGAAATCCCTTTAGTAGAGCTTGTGACATCTAATGACTCACTAATGAGTTTCTCG